TTTATGATCAGTGGGTCGAAATAAAAACAGCTACAATCTTGTCATCGGCAACAACTATACTAACTACCACTACGTACTACCAACCCTTTCACCTAACATCAGGTCCCAATGCTTCTCCGGCCCGCATTGCTGTGAGGAGGCGGTCCATGGAGTCGCCTGCATACGCGGGGCACCTCTTGGTCGCTGACACGATGACGAGGATCGCCGGCGAACGGGCGGCGCGGCAGGCCGCATCAATGGACCGCCTCATCTCTGTCCTTGAGCGCATCGCGGTGCCGCCACCTCCTGTCCCCGTCGCCCCAACCCAGCCCCCGGTCTCCACACCCCGGAACCCTAACGAGTCCCCACCTAATCGTGCTCATTTTGATGCGCACACCTCGGCCGGCACGCCGCCTTCTCACACGGCGTGGTACAACCCCACGATGCAGACCCCATTTGCAGCGCCACGACCCGCTGGCGTTCCAGCAACCGTGCAGCCCCCTATGATCCCGCCCGGCCACGACATGTCAACGGCACGTCGGCTGTATGCAGGGGCGCAGCCCGCGGTCGCCATGGACAGCAATGGGAACTGGTTCTTTACTGGCTCCCCGTCTGGACTGCACGGCCCTCATGCCGCCTAAGCCATGCCGAGTGGATATGCACGCCGAAATGGCGGCGACGGGCCACAGCAGCATCTCTGGTCCGGACTGGTGAGGGCTCCCAAACGAAGCGCTGCACGCCTGGGCGCTCCCACCAGCGGTTGGGTCGTCGAGAAGTGTAGCTGCGCCACCATCCCCTTGCCCGCTTTGTGCACTCCCTCTGCTCCTCGATCATGTTGTGTAGGACAACAGCGCATCCAACCCCGGCACACACCCTCCACAGCTTGCTATCATGTCTTGAGGCGAAGATGCGCCAACGGTTTTTGAAGACTCCCATAGTTCGCTCCACTGCCATCCGAGCAGCCGACTGCACGTAATTGAATGTCTGCTCCCATCCAGTCAGAAGCCTAGCTTTGCTTGCAAGCACGGGAACGAGGCAGTAGTCCTTCAATGGGTAGGCCGCATCACCTAGTAGTTGGTAGGGTTGTATGTCGCCATTGGCAATGCGTGTGTGTAATGCACTATTAGTGAAAACACGGCTATCGTGTGCAGAACCAGGCCAGCCCACCACGTAATCCCAGATTCTGCATCTAGCATCCACGGTGAGCTGGAGCTGCACCGAGTACATTTGCTTTCTGCAATAGTACTCTGTGCGGTACTCGTCAATGCCGCGCACTGGCAGATGCGTACCGTCAACCGCGCCAATCACATTAGGGACCCCCCTTGTTGCCCTGAACTCCGCCTCCATCTTCACCATCTCTTCACGTGATGGAAACCGCACCCAGTCGTTCTTGAAACGTCGGGGGAACGCAAGAAGGAAACAGTCGACAATGCGATGGCACACTGATTTTGGGACGCCGAAGAAGATGCTGATGTCAAGATATGACATGCCTGTAGCAAGGTATTTTATGGGGATCAACACACACAAACGAAGAGGAACCTGATGGCGTAAAGTCAGCTGGGAAAAATCATCTGTCATGTGAGCCTCTAGGTGCTCCATTATTGCACGATTAATTCGGAACAGCGCCACAAACTCGGCCTCTGTCATCTCCTCAATTCGACACAGCCACCCCGCCATTGTCGCTTCCCTGCGTGCCCTGGTTTCAGTAGACATGGCGGATTGAGACGGCCGGGAAGGTCCCTCATTATCATCCGTGTCGATCATTTGCATCGCCAGTTGAGAGAGCAAGTCGTCCGTCTCTGCATCGTCGTCCGCCTCCCATTGCAGAAAAGCCGCTATCGCAATCGCTATCGCAATCGCTATCGCGGTGATGTCCAACGCCATGGCTGTTCGTTGTGCTGTTAACAAACCTAGTGATCAATTTATGCATGTGTGTGGTACCTACGACTACCCGTTTCAAGAGCTTCGGTGAGAAGGTGGAGGACGAAGTGCAGAAACAGGCTTGCGCACGTCAGTGGAACAACATCACGGACGTGGGCGAAAGGCTGGGGCATCTCAAATGTTTACAAATGCCCCCGTTCGGATGCACGTACAGTCAATACCACAACTGCGTCGTGCGCCGTTGGATGAGTTCGCTCACGGTCGTGGATGCGGCATTGCACGACCAAAACCACATTACATGTTGATGGGCAAAGTTCGAGCCGCATTTGCCCCAATTTCCTCACATTATACAAATTGGCGAACCGCGTGGGGTGACTTCGATGGCGGGCAAACGTGGGAACGCCACCTGATGCTCGATTTTCTAACCAGCTTCTACGTGCGGTGGCATCGAGGCTCTGTGGGTTGTCGGTCGGTGCCGCGGTGAAACACAGCCCTCAATCAATGATCATCACCGTGCGGCCCTCGGAGCATCTCCTGGGTCAAACCGAACCCCACCGTGGCGCAAATCGAGGTGGTGTGTTGGGGTGGAGTGTCGTGCGTGATGGTGGTGCCTGTGTAGACGAACCTCGTGTTGGAGAGAACAGTTTCGAAGCGCACTTCACAACACAGCACTCGCCATTCCCCATCACATCAATCAAACGACATTGGCTTTCAACATATTTCTCATAAGACTGGCCTCGTATGCTGCTGATGCCTTTGGCCCCCGATTGCAGTTTCAACGAGCAGAGGGCTCGTTTTTGCAGAGAATAGGAGGACCACTTAGCAACCTGCTTCAGTGCACAATAAGAGTCCTCAAATCTCTCGCTACATGGTAACACGGAAGTAGAGCATATAGTTTTCACTTGTTGTTCGACCCACAGACGCGCGTGAAGGTGCGTCGGGGGAGCAGGTGCGTCATTCTTACTTTAGTGCCGTACTTGTCTCTGTTCTCAAAAAGTACCTCTGGGCTTCATATTACCGAATTTTGTCAGTACGAATCTGGACTATGCGCCCTCGTCTCCCTCCTCACGTAGTGTCAGCGCAAGACCTCCCTGCCACCCGTGCCACCCTTTGATCTCGGCCGTGCAGATGATCGTGGTCACGGCCGTCGAGCAGCTGGTCATATTCGTCGTCCTCGCGTTTCTGCATGTTTTCGTCTCCCTCTTCCTCCGCCGTTCAGACGGATCCGTGCGGCGATGGCTGGAGGACAACATGTTCATGTCCACGCCGTGCAGCGACTCGTTCACGGGGTGAGTGGCATGTGGATGCGCGTGGTACCGTTCATGAGTGTGCCATGAGGCGTCAACTGCGCACCATCTCAGGTTCCTGCTGGAAGTGTAGACTACTTGGTGTAGTGTTGTCTCTACCCGCGCTTAATTGCACTTATGTTTCTGCGTTACTTGGTCGTGTTGCGTGAACCCACTGCCACAGCGGCGTCGCAACGCGAGACGTGGTGATAAATCCCCGCACCCGCCTTTCAGCTCGCCTATTCCTCCCGCGCACAGGCCTAGTTGCCGCCACCATGGGGGAGCGGGCTTCTTTGGGCCTGACTTGCTACCGCGTGCTGCGTCGCTATCTACCCTCGTGGTGCTGCGTGCTCGCGCACGACTGGGACGAGGAACCTGTTGCCGCTGTTCATCCTATGGGAGACGCCGACTTCACTGACCTCGGTAATGGGACTGCCGCGGCAGCTAGTGCCGCGGAGGTAGCGTCGGCGTTCCGCCAATGCTCTGGCATTTGTTCAGAGTCACATGCGCGCGGAGCCCGTTTGCCCGTGCTGGTCTTCTTCCATGGCGGCGGGTTCATGTACTGCACTGCCGCCTTCCGTGCCTACGACTTTTTCTGCCGCCACCTCGCGCTCCTCGTGGGCTGCATCGTGGTGAGCGTCGACTACCGCCGCACGCCCCACAGCCGCTTCCCCGAGCCATACCTGGATGCGCTGGACGCCCTCGCGTGGGTGGGAGAGCAGACCAGTGCTTGCGGGGAAGACGAAATGTCGCTGGCACAGGGAGGCGTGCGGAAGGAAGGGGAGGCATGGAGTGGCAGAGAAGTGACGATGGATAGTGTGATGGGAGTGGAAGAATGCGATGGTGAGCCCCGAGGAGTGGAGCCTTGGCTGCGGCTTTACGGCGACAGCAGGCGAGTGGTGCTCATGGGCGACAGTGCAGGCGGTAACATCGTGCACAACGCATTGCTCATGCTGCTGCAACCGTCGCTGGACCTGGCATCGCCGGTAGGCGGCTCGGAACTGTGCCAAGCAGCAACGCTTGCAGCGACGGATAGATGGAAGGCACTCTTGGCAGCAGCAGGTGAAAACAATTCGCGAGCAGCTGCTTCTGACAGTAGCGCCTCTTCGCACGCAGGGCGCATGCAGCCAGTGAGGGCGTTTGGGCTAACTATAGTGGCGAGCGTGCTCATCTGCCCGTACTTCGGGTCCGAGCAGCGAACGGAGTCAGACACCCGGCGGCAGCACAACCTGACGTTCAACCTGCGCAACACTGACCGGGCGTGGCGGGATTTCCTCCCGCCAGGCAGCTCGAGAGACCACTATGCATCCAACCCGTCGAAGCTGGCCGACAGCAGTGCGTTAGCGGTGTTCCCCCCCACCTTGGTGGTGGTGGCGTCGCAGGACGTGCTGCACGACCACGGCGTGGCGTACCACGAGCTCATGCGCCGCCACAAGGCCCCCTGCACCCTGCTTCGCTTCCAAGCCGCTCACGACTTCGTAGTAATCTTCCCCAAGCTCAGGGAGAGTGAGAGATGCTTTGGCGCGCTCTCATGCTTCATGGAAACGCTGAAAGGCACATGAAGGGCACTCTGCCCCACAACGTGACATTGGGATGTGCCTGTGATCACATGTTACTAACACCTAATAGAAACGTTTTTATAGACCGTGACAGTGTATCCTGTCGCAAAACTAACTCAAAATCTTATGGCAGCTTTTTTATAGAGAATCTTTCAGACTCTCTGAAAGTGGCATGTAAGACGTGAGAATATTACAGTACATGTTGTCACTGAATTGAACTGATATAACTTTGACAATATTCATCCACTGGTTGTCACTAAAAAGGACGAAGGCTTTGTTCCACTGTAAGATAGCCTTATATGTGCGCTATCTCTTCGGCAACGTGCCGAGGACATGTATCCTTTGCGCGTATCTTGCCGCCTTCAACATTGGAATTTGTACTTGGGTTCTGGCAGAAGCACTCAGGCCATGGGTCAGCAAAGAAGGCCATGTGGCCATGGCGGCGAGGGAAGGGTGATGCTGATGGTATCTTCCGAAGCACGTTCTTCACAGCAGGGCCAAACACGTCCTCTGTTATGCCACCTGCCTCCCTTTCGTCCAGCACACGGGACAGTGAGCGGCGATCAGGCCTCAGCGATGGGAGAAACCCGAGGTACAGGCGGTGACCAAGCACATTATTGGCAAAGTTGCTGGGGCCGTCATAGCTGGGCAGGAACACATCAGCCTGGAAAAGAGTGGGTGATGCAGACAGGGAGGCAATCAGAGGGCTGCATGAGTAACTGGTTGCATTCACTCATTCCTACCTGGGCACACAATGGGATCGCAGGAAGCGTGGAGCATGGCCTACCTTGGTGCACACAATGTAGTCCACGGCCTGCCCCAGCAGCGCCCTGCCATGCCCCTCCACCGCCTCCATCTCCTCCGCCGTCGCCACGTCCGCACGGCGCACTATGTTGGGGAAGAGCGCCTGCAGGGGGCGCATGAATGCCTCTCCCCCGTACACTGCCCCCCCCGCCAGGTAGAGCAGCGTGCTGTTGGGGAAGCCCATGGCGCGCAGTGTGAGCCCCACCTGTTGGGCAGAGCAACAAGGGTGGATAGTGGGGAAGGCAAGGAACGGATGCAGGAGTGGAAGGGAAATGACACAAGGAGATCAAGAGGAAATAGGGGGAAGCAGACTGAACCTGGGAGAGGGCCTGAGAATACACTGATCCTTATCTGCACGATGTCATTTCAGATACGCAATTTAGCATAACGATCCTTATGGATTATGATAATCATATGATTATGATAATCATATGATTATGATAAGGATCGTTATCCTTATCCTTCTGCAGTTCATAATCATATGGATTTCGGGTTAAACGGTTTAAGCAATACTATAAATGCACAATGAAAAAGGCTATAAATACGACTCCAGAGGAGTTGGAGATTGCATGCGCCACGCTGGGGCGGCCAGGACAAGGCACAAGAGGATAGGGTTTCAGATGACACGTGGGCTTTACCTCGTGCGGTGTGAGTGGGCACTTGCCAATTCGTCTTCTCCTGGACTGCTCCAGCTCCTTCTCTGCAAAGTTAGCTTCTCGATATGCCTTCAGCTCCACCTGCTGCTCCTCAGAGAATATGTTGAAGCACCTGTGCCAAGAGTAAAGGAGATGATGGGGCGACAACAACTCAATCAGCAGCAGGCATCAGTGACGGATCAGCTTTCTTGGAGAGCAGGCGACATTTTTAGTCAGCTGTGGCGGCCGCTCACCCTGCAAATGCCAGCATGTCCTTCTCGAAGCGCAGGTGCACAGCAATGAAGCGCCCCTGCATGCCCAGCGCTGCGCTGCGTGCTCTCATGCGCGCCATCACGCTGTCAGCCAGCGCGTGCACGGCAGGGTGAAAGCGCAGCGCATGGAAGTTGGCACGGCAGCGCAGGCGCTGCAGCTCCAGCGCCACACTGCCCGTGCCCAGCTCCTCCGCCAGCCGGTGCGCAAACGGCGTCAGGTACACCCCGCCCCGCCGTCGCAGCACCCGCAGCGCGTCGCTCTCGTACCACTGCACTGGGGCCTCGCGCGGTGGACGCAGCTGCCATGGTGGGGGATGCGTGAGAGACATGGGAAGCGGAAGCTATATGAGCACAGCAGAGCATCAAGATCGAGACAAGATGAACAGGCCGCGAAAGGGACGAGCGCTCCACATGGGGCTACAGAGAGGAAGATGAGTGACCTACCCGGACGAGCTTGGCGCGCTTGTCCGCCGTTATGTGTGGCGGCAGGTCCTTGACAATGCGCACATCGGCGGCGAGCGTGGCAATGAAGTGGTCCACATCGTACACCGTGGCGAACCCACTGCCGCACCCACCACATGCACGCAACACAGGGCGTTGGATTGTGGACATAGAGGGTGAACGAGAGAAGCCATGAAAGTGGGTACATGGTGTGGAAGTGGGGAGAGATGTGGTGAAGAAACTACATTACCATGATTGCACCTCTTGACTAAAGCAGCACCGCATAACGTGTCACTGTATGGCATGGTCTGGCATGGAATGGCAATACACGGTTTGGTATGTCACAGGCTGGCATGGTGGTCATGCATTGCAGTAGAGCAGTGAAGCACAGGTACTCACCTGGTGTCGTTCCAGAACTCATTGGTGTCAAGGCGTGGCAGCACTAGAGTGGCGTTCATGATGCGCGCCACCACCACTGCGTTGCATATCTGCTCACACTCGCTCACACACACACCCCAACCCACCCCACCCGTAAATATTCGAAAACAAACCATTGCATGAACACCCACACATAACAATGTTGGTAACTGACAGTGAGTGAGGCAAGAGACAGTGGACACAGAGGGCAGTACAGAGCATGGTGGTGGTCCATGGGAGCCATGAGAAGGGAAGTGGAAAAGACAGAGACACCACGGCAGAATGGGCAGGACAAGCAACCTCACGGACTGTATGGGAGTGGGAGAGTGGCATAACGGCACTGGTATTGACGGCAGTGCTGAGTAGCCATGACGTGATATGGGACCCTGCACATACGTGCATAAGACCCCATAACAACAGCACCTAGTACCCATAAAGCGGTGCTTTCAAGGAATACAGCAGCTAACTCCCAAACGAACGCATCACATGGCATGCTGCCGCGCATGCAGCATGTGTGCAGCGTGTGTGTTGCCGCGTGTGTGCAGCATGTGTGTTCGTGTTGGGCAAACATCACGGGACAGCAACATCCTATACATCCCGCAATTGCTTCTCTCCGCTGCCCCTCTGCCGTCCCATCACGCACCGCGCTGCGCTGCTGGTTGAGCCCTCCGTTGCACCTCACCACCACGAATCCGTTGCTCTCCTCCGCTGGCGCTGCTCACATGCAGGGGGGCACGAGCGGACGAGAACGGAAGCAGCCAGGGAGTTGGTGCGAGTGGAAGGGAGAGGGAGTGAAGTGCGGCGAGGACGAGTATCGTGCCGACACTGAACGTATGGCACAGGGCAGTGACGACCAGTAACGAGGGAGCAACTAGTCACCCCATCATGCGTGCGGTGTCACCCCTACCATTTCTCCTCAACTAACCACGCTCCTGTGCTTGTGTTGTGTTTATCAGATGATTTTCTGTGGGCGCTCGAAAGTGAGAGGGGAGAGTGATTGCAGCAGCAGGGGGAGCCCTACCAGGCCAGACTGCCGTGTCTCGCACGCCTGCATGCGCCACCCAGCCCTGGGGGGCGGGCTCAGGCCACAGCGACGCTGCCTCACGCCCATGCGTGTGCGATTCGCTCCCCTCTGCTACCCCGCCCTCGCCCTCCCCCTGCACCGGTGCCTGCGCCCCAGGGCTCCCCACCCCCGCCTGCAGCAGCGAGCTTGTGGCGAGTGGCGGTGGTACGGCGGAGCTGGTGCGGCGCGGCAGCAGCAGGCGGCGGTGCGTGCCGTCCGATGAGAGCACCGCCTGGCGCACCATGCGGGGCAGCAGGCGAGACACATCGAGAAAAAGAGAAGGGGAGAGGATTTTCGGTATAAGGAATATGTAGAGGCTAATGATACCTGGGTTTAGCACCAGCAGGCGGGCACGGGAATGGGGCGTGCTGTCAGCAAAGAAGCGAGGGAGGCATGGCGGAGGGGGGGTAGGCGTGAGTGTGGATGGGGCATGGCGGAGGCGCACCTCTAGTCGCGACATGATGTCGTCGCCGAACCATGCAAAGAGCGCCACCAGTGTCAGCAGCGCCAACAGCAGCAGGAACCGACGCCGCCTGACAGGAAAGAGTGGCACAGGTGGGCGAAGGAGCATGCAGCACAGCAGAGATGCGATGGGAAGACACAGAGCACACAGCAAGAGCTTACACAAGGAAGAGCATGAACAAGGACCCATGGCATAGAGTGATTTCCACCCACACTCCACTTGGATCCCAGCCATTAACACCTCTCTCCGCTCGCCATCGCCCTGCCTCGCTGCTGCTCTCATCCCAGGCCTCTTTCCGTCCACGCCAGCCGCCCCGCGCTCACACAAGCAAGCAGTCCCTTGCGCGTGGACCTCCTCACCGCGTCCTGCGCCAGCGATGAGCGGTCGTCAGCACGCCGTGCTCACCTGTACCGTATCTGCAGCATCTCTATCTTCTTCCGCTGACGACCTCCCGATCGCCGTCGCTCCGCCCCGCCGACCATATAGGGGCTCTTCTTCGACGCCGACCGCACGCCGCCTCCCGCCTCCATCCCGCCGCCACCGCCGCCTTGCCGCGACCCACCTCCAGCGTGCCCTCCGGCCTTGGCGCGTCCTCTGTGCCTGTCGGGAGCCCAGAACCACGCGTCGCTCTGAGTGGACCTAGATCGTGCTTGTTCCTCTAATCGATCACTTGATGCTGAGCCTCGAATCTAAGTCCTGGCTGCTTGTGACAACAGGTCGCTGCGAACGAGATGATGGGAGTACGACGGGCTCGGTGCTAGTAACGAAGGACCATCGCAACTCAGCTGTCGAAGAAGTAGTTTTAGTAGGACGAAGTGTTTGCCTGACCTTCACACGAACTGATTTGAGGTCAACCTTGGCTGATTGATAAGGTGTGGAGGGTATTTGGCGGCGAGAGTTGTGCATGGATACTCGGAAAGGAAGTGGCCAATCAACGAGATGCTTGGCGTGGGAGACCGCGGGACAGGGGGAAGTGTGGTAGGGAACAGAACAGAAGGATTGGCGGGAGATTTTGAGGTGTCAGAAGGAGCTGGCTTGCGCACCTTGAGCCGGCCGTACTCCAAAACAAGACACCGCAGATCAGTACATGTCCAGGACTTGATCCAACGAAAACATGACAGCTTGGCTATTCTTTTGAAAATTAGAAGCAAGAGTTTTTAAGGTTTAGTATTGACTTTCCTGTCCACTTCGAGTTCATCTGATACAGCTGTAATTGCTGAAAGGCTCAAACTCCACTAACAATATCACCACTATCACCTCGCCTTCTATTCTGCGTGCCGCTGCCTCCTTTAGTAACCCATTTTTCACCACTAACCCTTGGTGTCTCTTTGTCCTTCACTGGTAGCCGTTTGCTTCTTGATCGTTGCCCCCGTGTTACTGGGAGCGACTGACTGTTCTTCTCCATGTCTTGCTCTCCCAAAGCACCCGAAGGCTCTTTTCCTGCTTGCGAACCTTCACTGCCCATTTCATCCTGACGCCCTGCCTTGGTCCGCTTCTCTTCGATTGACGCCTGTTGCTTCTGCACCATATCAAGCAGCCAGTCGCTGCTCACTTTCTCAAGGTTCATGTACCCCTCATCCACTTCCTCAATCCCTCCCTCTTCACTATCCCCTGCATTCCCGCCTTCTGTCTGCTGCTGTCGCCTCTCAGATTGCCGTTTCCTTCTCTCTTGCCGCCGGGCCAGCTGCTCCTGCTGCGCGCGTACAGCCGCAAGATTCACGCCTGAAGGCCAGCCCAACCCCGCGCGGCCCTGGCGGGCACGAGCTGTGCGCTTTCGGACAGAGGGGACTCCAGATACTGCAGGGCCGGAGGAATATGGGAAGACAGCGGGTGCGGCGGGCGCAGCAGTGCCAGAGGTGTGGGTGCGAGGTATGGGCTTGGTGAAGGAGGTGCCTAGCATCTCCATGTCCACTCCGCTCCAGGCGAACGTGTCTGTCATGTCCACCCATCCCGCGTCCCGTGCGTACTGCACGGCAGCAGCGGCGCCGTCGCGGTGCAAGCGGCGTTCGTACTCGAACCACTCGAGGCGGTCGCGGTACACGGGGTCCGCCAGCACCGCCTCCGCCAGCTCCGCCCACTCCGCCAGATCGTCCGAGTCCGCCAGATGCCGCGTCATCCAGCGCAGAGACCCCGGTTTCAACGAACCCAGCAACGGGGCGGGCCGTCGGTCGGCCACAGCCTCCTTGTACCAGCTGCCGAACGTCACCGGCGTGTCACGCGGAGGCACTGGACGCCTCCAGGTCCTGCCTGAGTCGTTATATGCCCGTGCCCTGAAACCACGTCCGCTCTTAGTGCGACTTCGCGCATTTTCGCGATAGAAGCAACTTCTCCTCAGATGCAATCCACCGCCGATCACAAACACCGAAGACAAGGAAGGAGCTGAAACGTTTGAACTACCAGCATCTGAACGAATCACGGAACCGAGAGGAGACCGACGGGAGGTGTATGGAGTAAATAAAAAAGAGTTGTGGGACGGCAATGGCCGCGAGATAATCTCCATACCCCGGACTCGCGCCGTGAGGTTGGAAGGGGATGAGAGGATATTGAAAGAATGGAACAGTTGAGTCTCAGCAGTTTTCTTGGGATCGGCTGGAACTGCAATTGCGCTGGTTACCTTGCCTACAATATTGGGAGTCGTTGATATTCTTGTATCGCGTATCCTCACACGCCCAAACAGTGTCCATCCTGCTCGACCACTTAGGCCAATCCCGTGTCTCTACCCTGACCAGCCAAGCTGAACTAGAAAGTTCTTTCCCAGGTTGATTCCAATCCGAGGGAATGTTTGATTCGTCCCCACTGTAGCCCACTCTGCGTGGCGACGCTTTCAAGAAAGTACTGTACCAAATAGGTGCGGACCCGCTTTAGTTTGTTTGCTTGGCCGGACTTTGTCGAACCATTCTTTTGCAAAATGAGCCCTTAGGGAACCCATATGACGCTATGGGAGGTTTAGGGCGTGTTTGGCCGGTGTCAAGCTTCGGGCTCGGCTTACGAGGTGTCAGACTTGTTGGAGAAGCGAGTTTCTGCCGTTCCAGCCCTTTGCACACAAGGATCAGCAAGGGGGAATGTCAGCGACGGAGTCAAGGCTGTTGGAAACAAGTAACTTCAACGCTTCTGAAGTATCGAAGTATCGACACGAAACGAAGCAGACTACAGTGAAGCAACACGAGTCAACAAAAGCAACCGCTGGAGGTTACGCGAAGGTCAAAGGTCGGTGACCTTTGACTCGACGAAAAATACAGTGCGACAGCAAGGACACATAACTGACTCGATACTGAGCAGTTACCCGAGTCGGCACTGTATCGAACCGCAACAGCAAAAACAGTTAAAGTAGAACTTTTCATATTCCTTTGGAATCATATAAAAGCCTTGTATTTCTCTACTATTATCAACTTATCTTGTTCTCACACACTAGTACAAGGTGGTTCAGCAACTCTGATATTAAACGCTTCCGCAACTACAACATTCCTACTTCAACCACAGATCTTAGCCTTGAAAGATCCTAAGGGCTTTTCTCAGCCCAACATGGTATGAGAGCAAACAGGGCAGGATCGATTTCTCAAATACCTACAACAACGCAAGACATGGCAACACAGAAGGAGAGGAGCTCCTCCAACGGATCTCTCGGCACTACTCCTACTCCACCTCCAGTCTCTGGCCTACAGACAGAGGAAGGCACAGTAACAAAACCAGCTGCGGAGTCGACCGAAACTCCCGGGAATCAAGCAGCAGGCTTCGACCCAAACATGATGGAGAAATTCTTCTCCTTCATGTCATTCTACGAGCAACATCAGCAAGCAGCTGCTGCGCAATCAAACAACAGCGACAACAACAACAGAGCAACACCGATGAGCCTTGACGGTTCATCCTATGCGCGCGGAAATCAGCAACAACCCACCTTTGCTCCGTACGAGCCTCAACGTGGCTCCATCAGTTTCGCGCCACAACCACAGTCTTCACATGGACAAGAGAAGACATTGCACGCACTTCAAGTTCAATCACAATTCGCACATGTAAACTGCAAACATCAACGCCTTTCGACGGAAAGGACTTCTATACCTGGTCATTCGAATTCGAGCTGATGATGGAGGGCGCGCAAATTCTTGGATTCTTCGACGGGTCCCTGCCATACCCAACGCATGGGACACAATATGACAAGCAACAGTATACGTATCAGTCGCTGATGGCGTACACGATACTTCTTCGAGATTTAACACTAAACGAGCAGCAGAACATTCGGTCTTATCGAGGATGCGGCAACTCTGCCGAGCTGGCGTACGACCACCTGAAGAGCATGTATCAAGCAACAGACAGTGTTAATCAAAGTCGTCTCATGGCACAGCTGACAACAGTGGAAATGAAACCCGGCAAAAAGGGAATGGCGTATATCAGCCGTTGTCGTGGACTGCGCGACAGACTCCTTCGATGCGGAGGAGCAATATCCGAAGAAGCCTTCGTAACCGTCATCATCGTCGGCCTCGGTCCTCATTGGCGCTCCACTCGAGCACTCCTTCGAGCTCACGGGAAAATCTCCAAAGCAGCACTCTGCGCCAAAATTCACGCTGAACAGCAGGATATGGATCTGCATGAGGAAACACACAAGAAGAAAGCGGCAGCACCAGAATTCGCGTTTCACACTCAACGACGACAAGGGATCGTGCAACTTCAGTCTTGAGAAACTAACGTTATTTTATAAATGTCTAAGCTTCTAATTGCAGAAGGACCCGGCTACAACTTACTCAGCGTCAGTCAACTGATGGCGAAGGCCATTCATCTCGAAGCAGACAGCACCACTCAGGAGTTTAAGGTACTGCCGACAACGACGCCATCGTCAACTTCACTTCCTGGACACATCCACCCGACCTCGATCCCGACTTCAGTCCTAGAGGATTTTGGTATTCACATACCATACCTGAAGGAGAAAGAACACGGGCATTAGCAACAATCCGGCAAGAAGAGATAACATCGACAGCAGCAGCAACAGCATCAACAGCAGCGGAGACAACATCGGCAGCAGCAGCAACACTTACGGTACCAATCGCGGGCTCTTCAACGGCACCAGTTCTCATCGACGACACTCCACCGACTCCTGCACAACAGTTAACCCCCACTCTACGCGAAGTTCACAGAAGCGCCAATCTCACCGCGGGTTTGTACTCCAACTCCGACCTGTACAGGCGCTCACCAGGACACCGTGCGAGCGAATCACTGTGGCACGAAAGACTGGGACATCCAAGCAACACGACGTTAATTAACACGATCAAGGCAACAGTACTTGACAAAGATTCTCTACTTCTACCCGACGGCAAAGAACTTCAACGATTCCGAGGCACATGCTTTACCTGCCCCGAAGCCGACTTACCTCATCGACCGTTTATCTCTCACCACAATCTTAGCGCTCCAACTTAAGCACCACTGGAGAAAGTATACATCGACATCCTGTATACTCGCAAACAAGGACAAGGAGCATATAACTACATGATTACTTTCATCGACGCTGCCACCCGTTACGTCTGGCATCTCAACCTCCCAAGTCGCGACATGGCCTTCGAAGCCTTCGTCGCCTGGCTACCTGTGGCAGAACGAGAATCGGGAGCAAAGCTGAAAAGCTTCGAGTCAGACGGAGGAGGGGAATATCAGTCACAAATGTTCAGGCACTACCTCGCAGAACGAGGCATCAAGCGACTCATCTCGCTTCCCTACGCCCATCAACAGCAAGGCGTGGCATAACGGATGAACAGAACTCTCCAGAACACCATGCGCAAACTGTTGCGTGGCATGCGACTGCCCAGCCACCAGTGGCCTGAGGCGATGGACCACGCTGTCATGCTGCACAACTTGCTTTCGTCATCATCGCTACCGAACAACGCATCACCGCACCTGCTGTGGATAGGAAAACTGGGCAACACAAAAATGTTACGAGTCTTCGGGTGCATGGTACATGTGAGAATATTGACGAGAGAAATTGAAGTGAGAAAGGATGATTGAACTAGAAAGCAGTTGGATACATATAACAAACCCTAACAGGGTTGTACTCACTACAGAGTACCCCACTGCAGACTAGAGAAACATAATGTTCTGACACATCCCCATAGTCAAAGTGGGGTATGATCAGCACAAGAAGCAAGGCAAAGCAAGCTCAGGGTGGATCACAATGTCACCACACATTCTGAGCACAAGTACAAGAAGTAACAGTTTAGAGTTCACAATAAATAAGCAAAGCTAGAGGCTATCACAGAGGGCAAGTGAGGAGGAGGAGGCTGGACTAATAGGAGAGGAGAGAGGAGGCAACGGCGGAAGCTGCAGACACACGGGCAACAGGAGCGGCGCGCACTGTGGCTACCGGAGGCGCACCTCCGGACTACAGGGGTAACTGGCTCCGCGGCTAAGACGAGCGGCAGGAGCAACGGACCCACGAGCGACTGGCGCAGCGGCATCACTGGGCTACCGGAAGCGCACCTCCGGACTACTGGCACTGCTAGCAACACGACGGCTACCCCCACCCAACCTCCCTCTACTGCCGCACCCCCCATTCACACACCCCCTGCTGCACCCCTAGGTTCACTCACACTCCACCCCCTAGCACCACTCTGTCGACTCACACACACCCACCCCCCTCAGCGGCAGCTGCAGCAGTGGGAGACGGAGTAGGAGGAGGAGCACGGGATGCCACACACCCGCCACCCCCATACCCTCCACCACTGCTGCACCTGCAGCAGGGGATGGAGGAGAAGGAGGGGGGGAGGGGGGGGGGGGGGGGTGCTGTGCATGGCGCTTGCAGAGGGCAGCAGGGCGCACGGGGCGCACAGGGCAGCAGGGCAGCAGGCGCACGGGGCAGCAGGGCGCGCGGGGCGCAGCAGGGCCGGCGGGTTGGCCACACCCGCCACCCCCATACCCCCCCCCACTGCTGCACCCGCAGCAGAGAGATGGAAGGGGGGGGGGGGGGGCGGGGGGGGGGCAGGCAGGTGCTGCAGGTCCCTTCCCCCCACTGCCGCATCCGCACCAGGGGGATGGCAGATCCCCTCCCCCCCACTGCTGCACCCACAGCAGGGGGAGGGAGAGGAGAAAAGGGGCGGAGAGGACGGGGGGGGGGGCTGGTGCTGCAGGTCCCCTCCCCCC